CACAGACACCAACACACACACTAACTTTGCTGGACTCTGGTAAATATGAGTTAAAGTCTCTGCTGCTCAGTGTAACCATCATTACTGTTTTTACATGAAGAAACATACATGCATATACAGTGAAACCTATTTGGGTCTAACCCTAAAAGCTTAAAAGCAGGACTAGAGAGACGGCTCAGCAGTGAAGTGTGTTCACCGCCCTCGGAGAGGACCAGGGCTGGGTCCCCAGAACCCACATTAGGTGGCTCACAATTGCCCGTGACTCCAGTTTCCATGGCATCCAATGCCTTCTGGCCTCTGGGGGCACCTGTGAGTACATAGTGCACATAAACTCATGCAGACATGCACACACACACATACATAAACCTAACTCTTGAACAAAAGGATGCTTAACAGCTAGGTGTGGTGATACACACTTGTCAATCGCACGTGTGGACTGAACCAGTAGAACGGAGAATACCAGAGGAGCCTGGGCTAGGTAACAAGTCTCAAAAAGCAGCACACATAGAAAACTATAAAACTGTGTTGAGAGAAACGGTCTATGCTGAATTTTCTACATAGTTGTCCACTTAAATATTCTAAAAGCCACAGTGGTGATTCATCTTTCCTGCCCCACCCCCACCCCCTGGCACCCACAGTAATCGCTGGAGCAGAAGAAATGTTCAGCATTTGGAACTATTTTCAAAAAACGGGGCTGAAGAAATGGCTCATCTGGCAGAGTGCTTGCCCTACAAGCATGAGGAGCTGAATCTGAGCCCACGGAGAAGAAGCTGGACATGGGGCAGAGACCCGAGAATGTCTGGGGGCTCGCTGACCAGCCAGCCTGGCCTGGGCAACCCCTAGGCCAACGACAGACTCTGTCTCATGAAGAGGTGGTCGGGGCAGGTGAGCCGGCTCAGCAGGTAAAGACACTTGCCACTAAGCCTAACACCCTGAGTTTGACTGCCCAGGACCCACATGGTAGGAGAGAACTGACCCCCGAAAGCTGTCCTCTGACCTTCACACCTGCACTGCAAACCACACACACACACACACACACACACACACACACACACACACACACACACAATGTTAAGATGCTTGCGCTCTGGCCTCCACACACAAGCACAGACGCTCTCAAATACAGAGAATGAACGGGCGAGGTGCTTCCTGCCGCCGGGCTACCGTTTGTTTCCTTAGGATCATCCTAGAGGAGGTCTTTTGGTTTCCACAGATCCCAGCGAAGTCATTCAAACAAAGTCTCAAGAATGAAATCTTTGCCCGAAAGCCTTGCCCTGAGAAACAATGATGGTCATGAGAAGAAGGTGGTCCTTTCCTAAAGACACCAGATAGCCGGGCATGAACCGAAGAAGCCCTTCGGGAAGGTTTTGTCAGAGCTGCTGTTACAAAGCCATTAGACACTGATTAGACACAAAGCCAGTACGTTTCTGTGGCTTGTTTTGTTCTGGGTTTGTTTTCATACAGGCAAAATGATTATGATAATCCCATGTTAATGATACTCTGCAGTGTCATTAGGGATATATGAACATCGATTGTAAACTAGTTTTTAGCTAATGTGCTCTGTCTGCCTCAAGAGAATGCAATCTCTCAGTTTCTCTTTCATTTTCAGGCAGGCCTGCATGGAATTTTCCTCTCCTTTTCATGCTGATGGATTAATACGTGGTCACGTGTGCCTCGTATTGTTTTCCTCTGGGAGGTTGGGTACTTCCATTTCCTCCTCCTGCTTCATTTCTCTTATTGTAAACTGTAACAAAAATCCCCTTCAGGGTCCCTCTGAACTCTCTGCCCAGAGAGGAAAGAGAGAGGTGGTAGAGAGATGGGGGAAGGGGAGGGAAGAAGGGTAAAAAGAGAGGGACGATCAAGAAAGCCGCTGGGAGCCCTGAGTTGTAACCATCTCCATGGAAACAATTCCTTAGCGATCAATCTGGAAACAATTCTGCAGGCATCACTGGAGAAGCAGCAGGGTCCAATCGCACCAAGCCTTACTAACAGGGTTCAAATGCGTGGGGGAGGAAGCTAATAAAAATTACGTTTACTACGGCATAATGCATCTTTAAACTAAAAAAATTCCTACTTGCTGTAATAAAAAGGCAAAAGGCCTTCTAAATCTTCAGTGTTTGTAAAGAGCGCTCGCCATAAAGAAATTATGAAAACAACAACAACAACAAAAACCCTCCAAGAGAAACATCACTACTGGGTGGTGAAAAGTCATACATCCGATTCACGAGAATGATGGGAGGCTTGTCGCCCATAACCACACAAAGTGTGTGCAAAGAATGCCAAATTCATTCAGGCAGTAAGTGGACTGAATTCCAGGCGAAGAGCGAAAGGGATTACAGAATTCCACCTACCAAATCGGGTTGAAAGCATGAAAGAATAAAGAAGCCATGTAATTTAAATCCAGGGAAGGAAGGCCCTGGGGAGAATTCACTCTAAGTGTGCAGCTTCCAGTTTTGCTAATAAACCAATTACTTCTTAAAGGGAGAACATGCTTTAGGCCCTAAATTCAATCCGCAGCTATTAATAGAAAGGGGAGATCTTAGAGGGGTGTAGTAACAATAGGATAACTTCGGCAAAAGTCTCCAACCAGTAACTACTAACTTACTTGTAACCACAAAAAAAAAAAAAAAAAAAAAAAAAAAAAAAAAAAAAAAGGTTTAGAGTTGCATCTCTCACTTGGCTCTATACCTTCGGCAACTATTTTCATTGTTCTGGGATTAGGCACAGCATCTGTGAAATGAATACTACCTTTTAGGGCTATAGAGACACAGTTGACATGGAGGTAGGAGGGTCAGGAGTTCAAGGATATCCTTGACTACCCAAGAACAAAGACAATGATTTGCTAACCATACCTAGTTCCAGTAAGTTCTTAATAAACCCGAGCTATTACGGCTTCTGTTTTCATGTCTGGAATTATAATCACATTGCCCACCCCCACCCCCACTTCCTCTGAGGAATATTCTGGGTTAAAATCAGTAGAGTACTAAAGAAATTTAAGTAGGTTTGAAGATGAATTAGAGCTGTGAAATGGAAATTTCCATACCAGAAACTAAGTAATTGGCCTCCTGGCTCCAGTCTAAACACACACACAAATCTCACGGTAAATAAAACTCATCCTTCTCCACTGCTACGGTCCCCTCCCAGCCCCACTCCACTCCTGATGGGCTTCCCAGTCTCTTTAGCACAAAGAACTCTTTGAACTGCACATTGAAGGATGACTACCATGTATCCCCATTCACAGTCACGTTTACAGCATTCACCCGTCCTGCCTGGCCTGTGACTAAACTCATCTTCTCTTTGCCCATTAATTGCTCTAAGCCCCCCCCCCCTTTTAAGATTTATTTTATGCATATGAGAGATCTATCTGCATGTACAACTCTTCGTGAGAACAGGACATCAGATCCTACTATAGATGGTTGTGAGCCACCATGTGGTTGCTGGGAATTGAACTCAGGACCTCTGGGGGTGCATGCAGCCAGTGCCCTTAGCCACTGAGCCATCTCTCCAGCTCCTGCTCTAAGTCTCTTCCCCCAAGATGGCTCTTCACCTTCCCACAGATTTTTTTTTCCATGTGCCATTTGTGTTAAAACTTAGAAGGCCATGGGGGTGTCATGAGGAACCGTGGTATCAGCTCGGAACCTCAAAAAGCGTGTCGCCTGTGAAGCATCATTTTCAGGAACACCAAACTCTATTTAGAAACCGAAGTCAACTGCCCTGAGCCCCTGATCTGTCCCTGGGTTTAATGAAGAGAAAAACTAAACGCGGCAGGTAGGAAACCAATCAAGAGGTCAAGGCTGGCTCCGCACTGAGAGCCAACCCCCAGGCTGGGACCGAAATCCTGCTGGGTTGGGTAGCTCCGTATCTGGGTACCGTGGGGCCAAACACGCATTCTTTCTGATTGCATAATGCAAGCATGGTGGACGGGAGAGAAAGCCTTTCCCTGGGGTTGGGGGGCCGGACCACGTGGCTCCTTCCACGCCGGGCACGGGGCGGGCCTGGAGGGCATTTATTCCCGGCGGAGCCGGAAAGAGCCTTTAGCAAACCGCGGCATCACGACGGTTCCCCTTAGGACCGACTCACGCCCTCCCGGAAAGGCGAGCTGGGAGGACGCGCGGGCCGCTGGCTGAAGCCAGAGAGAGAGAGGGGTACGGAGCCGGGCAGCCGGGCAAGGCCCCCTTAGTGCGCAGGTGCGGGTGGCCCCGCCCTCGCCGAGCCCGGCCTGTCAGTCAAGTCTCGCGAGAGCGGCCGGCCGGGGCGCTCGGCCCCGCCCCCTCCTCGCTCGCTCGCTCCCCTCCCATCCCCCCCGGCCAGTGTCTGCGCTGCGCAGCTCCCGGAGCGGTTGTCAGCGGCGGAGACGGTTGAGGGGGGGGAGAGAGCGAGCGAGCGAGCGAGCGAGCGAGAAACCAAAAACCGTTGTGTCGGGAGCGCTCCCCGCGGACGAGCCCGCCGTCCCTGCCCGCGAGCGTTGGCGCCGGCGTTCCTAGCGCCTCACAGGGTCTCTGAAGTAGAAGGGGGTAGGTTGGGCCGCCCGGGTGCCGAGAGCCGAGGCGGGCGAAGGGCGCGGAGCCCCCGGGCGGCGGCGGCGGGGGAGGAGGGAGTGTCGG